GACTCAATTTGCACTATTTCTGGCAGTCTGCAAAGGCCCTAAGAAGAGCAGTGGAGGTCAGGAAATCTTGGAGATGTCTCATCCACAGGATTGACATGGGTCAAGATCAACATCAGGTGGTGGTGGTTAACAACAAAAATTTCCCATGGTATGATTTAGCACTAAAAAAAATAAAAATAAAAATAAAATCAGGTGTTGTGCTTTATGTTCTTTTTTTTTTTTTTTACTTTAAGAAACCCAGGATGAACAACTTAATGCTTTTTTGTTACTAGTGATATTGTTTAATAATTAAACACATGGAGTCATACTTTAAAAAATAATAATAAGGGAACTAACTGGTATTCATGAATAAAAAGGCCTGTGATTTCCACCTGCAAATCAAGGATGTTTTTTCTATGTACATAATTGTGTCAATTAAGCTTATTCATTGTTTCAGAATGAACAAGAAATGGTGAGCCTGCTGATGTCCACTGATTAAATAAAAGGGGGGGGGGAAGAGACTTAGGTAAATAAATTCACATACAAATGATCCCTCGTCGCAAACACCAGCTGCACAGGAAAAGGAAAACTCTTCGCCATCTCTCCTTGTGCAGGTTCAGTTGATGCCTCTTAAGGACCCGGTTGCAGTCACAAACTAAGCTCTCTGACCCACCACAGGAAAAGGCTATGGAGGAAAACAAAACAGCCAAAACAATGGTGTGAATTTCAGCCACTCTTCTGAATTCTGGCAACATCTGGCCTCCCAAAGTTTCATTCATAAACTTATTTATCACCTCCCCCAAAAGACCACCAACATGCCAAAAGAAAAAATCTAAATAGGAGGAGGGGAATTGGTGTGATGTTCATATTAAAGATATCATTTAGCACTAAGTGATCCATTTCAGGCACAATGGAAAAAGACATGAACTGATCCCTCACCCTCCATGCTTAAGTCATTACATCCTGAATTCCGTACTCCAAATGAATGTTTCCCAATTTGTTTCATGTTGAAAAGAGGTAAGACTAAATTGACACAAAATGATTATTTCTGATTATTGTATTTATTTTCATCCTGCCATTTTCCCGGTCTCGGACTTGCAAAAACTAAAACAAAACAAACAAAAACCCCTACAAAATTCACATCATACAAAAGTTAAAAATATAATTAAACTAGCAATACAATTAAAAGCAGGGGAAAAGCATGATAATTTTTTTAAAACAACAACAGCAACAAATAATTAGCATAGCACATTCTGAAAGGCCCTTTCCTCCTGAGTAGTCAACCCTGAAGGGTCTATAAAAACAAAAAGATATTTTCCTTTTTACCAAAGGATAACAGAGATGGTGCCAGTCTGTTCTTTCTAGAAGTGCCAAAGCTTGAGAGCAGCCACCAAGAAGGTCCTCTCCTGCATTTCCACCAGAATAATGTTAATATTTCTTCTTGCATTGTTGTTTCACTACTTGCCTTTATCTATTGGTGGATAATAAGATTTATCATAATAAATATTGAGAGATTGAACCTAGGGAGTAGAGCTGTCATGCAGAACTGAGATTAGAGCTAAATGTGAACTATGAAGATGGTTGTTGTTGTGTACCTTCAAATAGTTTCTGACTTATGGCAACCCTATCGTAAGGTTTTCTGGGGCTGTGAATGTGTGACCCAGTAGGTTGCCATAGCCAAGTGGGGATTCAAACCCTCTTCTTCAGAGTCATAGTTCAACATGCAGACCACTGCACTACACTAGCTGTGGCAATAGAAAAGCAAAAGCAGCCTGCATTATTCTTGTCCTGTGACTTTAACAGCAGCTCCATCTACAGAAATCAGCAGGTGAAGCTTTTCATAGCACAGAAATAAGCATTATCACTTGTTCATGGTTTTCCTCTGCTTATGTACATAACTGTATGAATGATGTTCATTAATTGTTTCAAGATGAAACAAGATAGTTAGCACATTGATGTCCACGGATACTTTCGCCCTCCTCACAGACAGGCCATGGAAGTTTTAAATCAGTGGTCTGGAAACCAAGCCTCACCAGATGTTGTTGGGCTAAAAACTATTTGAGAAACTGGAGTTACTTAAAAAAAACTTAAAGCTTTACTGGTAACTTGTTACTTTGGGAGAGGGGTGGGGTTGAACTATAACTGTCAGTCATTACTTTTTAAAAATAAAAGCAACTTTCAAAGTTCTTACTTGATGTCACTTTTAGAAGGGATGAGGATGAACCAGATGAATCTTAATTTAGACAAGATGGAGATATCATTGACTGGGATTCTAGCAATTTTGGAGCATATGCTCAGCTTGATGACATTGTTGGCAGAGGCATATGGAACATATTTTCAGGAAGTCCCTGATCAATGTACGATTTGTCATCAACTCCTCTCTCCCTCCAACTGTTTGGGAGTTCTTGCCATCCACATGATTAACTATTCTTCAGCAAGCTTACCAACCCACTTAATAAACTGCCTTGTGTGAATGGAAAGCTTATTATCATCCAAAAACCAATCATGTGAAGAAATCCCCTTACCCACGACATGTTTCTCCTATCTTTAGGATTACTTCAATAAAGTAATAGCTCCTTTTTCTGACATAACCATTCTGGTGGCATTTGTAACTCTGTACACTGGAAAAAATTATAGCATTTCACACCATGCAATTATCACACTACTATTCTACCTTATCTGCCATAGCAACATCCCATGGAATCTTGGGATCTCCAGTTTAACAAGGGATATTTAGAAGTCTCAGCCAGAAAGCTTCAGTGCACCGCCAAACTACAAATTACAATTCCCTAGGATGGTACTATGGCAGTTAAAGTGAAACCATAGTGCTGTAATTGCGTAGTGTGAAAGGGAACCATGCAAGAAATTTCTAAGCCTATCTGTGGTACAAATGTATACCAGAGTGATACCAGTTTGCCATTATCCTGGTTCACTCTCACCCCTCTCCAAAACTGGAAAGCATCTGAGTTTCTGTATGTGGTTCCTGTTCTTTGAAACAAAGGGTGGGAGATTGGGACCCTCCAGATGTTGCTAGGTGACAAATCCTACCACCTCTGACCATTGGCTGGGATCAATGAGAGTTGTAGTCCACCAACATCTGGAGGGCCGTAGGTTCCTCACCCCTGAAAAGATACAAATGCAGTTCTCAAAATTTAGAGGGGCTAGGAGTGGGAAATGCTTTTAAACCCATTTATCATGTAGATATGCCTCTTATCTTAAGAATATGAAGCATTTAGTAATTCTGAAGATGTCTGAAGAGCTTTGTGAAATTGGGCATTCCTCCTTGAAATTTGTTCTTACTGACAGACATATGCAAAAAGCTTTCTTGGCTGAAGGGTTAATCAGCTGACTTCCCTAAGAAGGACTGATTCATTTTCTGGAGATAACATAACAAAGCCTGGAAATGCAACCATATTCAGTATTTTTTTTTAAAAAAAAATATCCTTTGACTGAAAACTTTTTGAAAGCTATTACGTTACTGAGGCTTAAGAAAAGTCCACACTGTTTATTGTAAAGTGTTTATCAGCGCAGATGTCAATGAAAGGCTCAGAAGTTTATTTTAAAGATTCCGGACGAGGACGGTACATTTTCCCAGTTGTTACTTCTCCTGCTCAGTTGCTTCCTCTATGCAAAAAAGAAAGGATTTAGAGTTATGAATTTTTGAGCATGCGGTGGGTTAACCCCTGGCCAGCAGTGGTTGGGAAACTGATATTGGTCTGCAGAAATTAATTTGACAGCTCATAAATATCAAAGCCAATTGGCTGCCATTGTATTCCACTTTCCTTGGCTTTAACAAGCCATTCAGGTTAAGTGGGCAAGTCAAACAGTGTTGAATTTCAGGGGGCTTTTTGTGAAGATTAGCTGTGTGTTTTCAGAGTTCCTCATGCTTAATCTTTCCTTCAATTCTCTTCTAATGTATCTGAAACCATTGTTTTTACCCACTAGAGTCTGTAATAAAGAGACTTTTTAAAAGCCTCCCCAGGGTCACCAAACCTTCTCTTTGATGGTCAGTGCAGACCTATACTGGACTGGGGTTTTTTTGCATCTGAAATGGTCCTTAGTTGTTTGTTTAAATCAGGGATGGGTAACCTCTGGAATTAGCATTGGCTGCACTGCCTGCCCCAGAGCCTATTTGGAGGTACTACTACAGCTTCCGGAATATCCCCAATGGCTCTGATACACTCTGGAACAGCTAATATATGACCCCCAAGATGTTGTGGTTTGTAAGTTTACACATGGGATGAAGAAAATGAAGCCCCTAGATGTTGTTGGATTCCAGCACTCATAATTCCATCTAGCATACTCTCATGGAAATGAGACGTAGTCCAACAAGATCTGGAAGGGTGCAGTTTCTCCAATCATGACCTACACTTACTAGTAGCAATTCTCCAGGTTTTTAGATATGAGACTTTCCCAGCTCTGCAAGCTAGGGCCTTTGGCACACAAAGCATGTGTATTTTCTTGGGGCTGACATGGATAATATGCATCAAAATGAAGCAAAGAGAATTACCATAATATGGCAAGTCCTATTTGTAATATGGCAAGTCCTATTTGCAGATTTATCTAGAGTCCTGTTGAAAAAACTGGGGCTCACTCCTGAATAGGCATGCTTAGGCTTGAATCTACTGGTTTCAATTAGAATGAAACCACAGCCAAGTCATCTTTATTTTTTTGTAAGATGTATGAAGGGTATCTAGTATGTTGAAAGTACTCAGCATAAAATTATCCTGGGAGCCTTAGCTAAGTACAGTTATGGGGCACCTCTGTGTGTATATTTACAGAGAGGAGGGATACACTCCAATTATTTCAAAAAAGATTACTAAGCAACTTTGGCTATAGCCTTTGCTATGACCCTTCACAACAAACATGAATATCCAAATAAATGCATCTTTTTAATGCATTTAAAAAGCAGTATGGGTAAATGGTAACAAATGTAAAGTCACAGTCTCAATATTATATGGGGGCCCAATCCACAGGAAACTCCTTCTTTGACATTTACATTAAAATGGATGATTGAATGTTATGCAAGAAAACAATGATCTTCTCCTGATGTTTTCAGTGGGAAACATGCAGTAACAGTAAAATGTCACCATGAATCTCTGTTCCCATATTTATTGAGGGTTTTTTTCTACTGTACACTGGATGCTTACAGGAGGCATGAATCTGAAATTCTGAGTAATATTTGTGACTCCTTATAACTCTCTTCATGCATGCAGATTCTGATCGGATAGATGTCTGAGGTTGGGACTAAAAATGTAACCCAATCATGTGATACCCCCTTCATGTATTATCTTTAAGAAAGGGACTTACATCATACACATCTCTTAAACAAATATTTTTATCCTTCCCAGAATGGCTTTTCAGACATTTACCCTCAAAGGGCCCTGGTAGAATGAAATGAGAAGAGGGAAGAGGACAGAAAGGAGAGTGATGGGGAAAGAGAAAGGAAACAGGTGCTGGAAGAAAGAATATGTACATGAAAAAGTAATTTTTGTCCAAACCTGCCTTTTCATGAAGAAGATACAAAGATATAATATAGCCAGTGTTTTTATTCAGTGTGCTGTTTGCCCACTTATGAACTGCCTCTCAAATTCATGATGAAATCACTGAGTATGCCTAAACAACAGTTATAGTAGTTTGATACAGCTTTAACTCATATGGAATCCTGAGATTTCTAGTTTGGAACCCACTGGATGACCTTGGACACATCATATGATCTCAGCCTCAAAGGAAGGCAATGGCAAATTCGCTCTGAACAAATCTTGTAATGGAAGGATGGGCAGGTGGTCAGAAAATGAAGGGCAGTGAGCATGAAAGATTCAGAGGATTTACAGTAATAATAATTGATGACTGATTAATTGCTTGCCATCTCTAAAAGTCTGAAGGCTCTCAAATATGATACGCAGCTGATATCATCAGATACACACACCGAATTAGTGAGATGAAGACAGGTAGCATGCTTGAATACTCCATTATTCTCTTTCTCTGGAAGCTGGCTCACTCTCCCCAGTCTGTGCTTGATGCTCCATCTTTTTGATTTCTACAGATTCCTGTTGCTGTTGTGTGTCTTCGAGTTGTTTTCAGCTTATGGGGATCATAAGATGAACCCATCATGGGGTTTTCTGAAACTAAGAGTGTGTGTGACTCACCCAAGGTCGCCCAATGGTTTTCCATGGCTGAGCAGGAAATCAAACCCTGATCTCCAGAGTCATAGTCCAACCCTCAATCCACTACACCAAATTGGTTCTTATAGATCCCTAGTGTGTCATAAAAAGAGATATCTTTCATTTTATGAAAGATTATAGGACACATGGATCCCCAGACTTACTGACAATCCATTGGTACCATCTTGAGGGGCCCTAGCAAAGCATTTATCCAGCCTGCGGCCCGCCGGGTGTTTTTGCCGCCGCTGCCTGT